TTTGCTTCAACGCGAGGGGAAGATAACACGACACACACACAGAGTGGAGACGCAACGCAGGTGGACGTCATTTCGTCATCCCCAACCCCCACCCCTACACACGACTCGCCACAAGCCGAGCAGAGAGAGGCCGCGCCATGGCCCGCATCTAGGGGCCGAGGAGGAGGAGGAGGAGCCCAGCAGACACAGGCAGGATGGGGCGCGCGTTCGTGTACGTCGTCCTGGGCGGCGGCGTGGCCGCGGGCTACGCGGCGCTCGAGTTCGCCCGCCGCGGCGGCTACTCCCGCGGCGAGCTCTGCATCATCTCCGAAGAGGCCGTGAGCGCTCCCTTCCCCCTCCTGAGTTCGGACCCCCTCCTGTAGTATTTCGTCAGCTTCAGAACTTCGTCTGTAATCGAATCCTAGTTGTCCGTCAGTGGATAGGACCGCGCCACTGGTGCTTCGGATTGGTGGTTTTCTTGCGCTTCCAACCGTATCAGGAAGGATTTATTTGTGGCTGCTTCAGCCGCCAAGCCAGGAATGCTTACGTTTCGTTGCCTTCGAGATGATGTATGGCTTATTAGAGCCTTGATTGATTTGCCTGGATAAGCAGGGGGGATTTTTTATCACGGCCATAGCAGGGTGCTATTTAGGGACACACATAGTACCCTGCACTGCAGTTTGGTAACTGAAAAATGACGACTGAGGTAGCAATGGGAAAAAATGGGTTAGTTTTGATCCTCTGTCTGACCTTTAAGGAATCATGTATGTTCCAAGCATGCATTTTGTGCCTAGTTTGTAGGAATTTCCCTTCAAGGAGCAAGAAAGGAATGCCAAATTTCTCTGTGTGGTCTTAAGATTCAGCTGTAATGAATAATAGTCCATATGGTGATTCGGCATAGTAGTTGAATTTGTTTTTCCATGGAAGATGTGAAAAGGCGGTGGCAAACCAGGGGGGCGGGGGAATTAAAAACAAACAGGGATAATATGTTGTTCTTTTTTGCTTGTGGAACAATTATCACTCAGTTCAGGCCCTGTGATTCTATCATTGAACATGTATTTCTCTTAATGATCTCTTTCGTATCTTGCCAGGTTGCTCCTTATGAACGCCCTGCATTAAGCAAAGGCTATTTACTCCCAGAAGGTACATTCCTTGCACACTTAAAAGTTTTGATAACCCACCGAGCATTCCACCTTGCCACTTATATATAGTATCAATCGTGATTAATATCACTGTTTTCAAATTTTGAAATATTACCTCTCTTCTTTCACTAAAAAAATGAATATAGCTACATCCTAAAAAGGTAGTTTTATGACACATTGATAGACAGTTTCACTATGCTTTGCATTCTTTTCTTACTATGGTATTTGCTAAAAAAGAATATAGCTACATCCTAAAAATGAATATAACTACATCCTAGAAAAATGAATATCAATCGTGATTAATTCATCATGCTACTGTTAACACTATGTTTTGCATTCTTTTCTTACTATGGTATTTGCTAATGTGTCCTGTCTCCCAGCATTTGACGTGCAGCCTGTTAGTTTTGCTAACTGTTTTTAATACCTGTAAAATTTACAGATCCTTCTCGGCTTCCAAAATTCCATACTTGTGTTGGAGCTAATGATGAGTTACTGACGACAAAATGGTACAAGGAACAAGGTAGGTTTGATTAGCTTTTGGTTTTCCACTTCGGTCTAATTTCCATCGCATGTATGCATATGAGAAATGAGATACTCCCTCCGATCCAAATTAATTGATGCTCCTTTAGTACAACTTAAGTTGTATAAGCTGTACTAAAGGAGTGTCAATTAATTTGGATCAGAGGGAGTAGTTCATTAGAGTTCTGGGTAAACATCATATTTGATAAAAATATCCTCGAGAAAAAAGATCTGGTAAAATATATGGTATTATTGTTGGTTCTTCGATTCAATTATACAAATAGTTTTATGATCCAGTTGTTATTGTCTGTAATGTGTCGGTGGGGTATATGTACTAACTGTCAATTTACGTGAGTAGGTATTGAACTTGTTCTTGGAACAAGAGTGATATCTGCTGATGTGAGACGGAAGACATTGCTTACAGCAACTGGAGAAACTATCAGCTATAAGACGCTTATAATTGCAACAGGTGCTCGGGTATGGACTTATTTATACTTCTTTAAGTCCATCTTCTCTCATTTTTAATTATAATATATTGGATTTATTTTTATGTGTCTCTGTACATGATATAGGCTTTGAAGCTGGAAGAGTTTGGAATAAGCGGTTCAGATGCTGCAAACATATGTTATTTGCGCAATCTTGAAGACGCGGATAAATTAGTGAATGCGATGAGCTCATGTTCTGGTGGAAATGCTGTTGTCATCGGTGGTGGCTACATAGGAATGGAATGTGCAGCAGCATTGGTTACTAATAAGATAAAAGTAACCATGGTCTTTCCTGAAAAACACTGCAGTAAGTATTAGATGTTGTGTCGCTTGATTTGTTGTTTACATGTTGTCTTAGGATTTAGGACTCCCATGATATGCTGTAAAGACCCATTTTGCTCATCTGTATATGCCCTTGATTTGTTTTTCTGCAGTGGGTCGGCTATTTACAGAAAAAATTGCAGAATATTATGAAAGCTACTACACTTTGAAAGGAGTTACTTTTACCAAAGGAACTGTGCTTACATCCTTTGAAAAAGACTCAACAGGGAAGGTGAGTTTCTATTCCATGAAACTGGGTGTACTTTGCAGTTCATGGCTAGTAACTACACTGTATTAGAAAATGATGAAACTCTCGTCTTATACTAGAAGTCAAGGTCCAGAATTTCTTTTCCTGGCAGTCATATTCAGGTGGCTGGTAAAGGTTCTTGGGTTCGGAGTATGGGATAGCTGTTGAAATCACGGTCATACTTAACAACTGGCAAAGAACTATTTGTGTTTTGGCCATTTCGGGGAGAATTTAGCTCTTCTGTATTATGGTGTACTGTGTAGGCCCTGTTGCTGTCCAATATTGACATAGATTCGCTTGAACCTGATCTATATCTAGTTTATCATGTCCTGCCATGCTTTGATGAATCTACATCTAAGTGGCGATACCGTATCTACTTTATCATGTCATGTCATGCTTTGATGAAATATATAAGCAAGCGGCTTGTAGAAACTCTCGATCTGAGAGTTGTATTGAAGCAAGTAAACAAAAGAAAAGGATTGTGTATTTCAACCTGACTACCCGGAGGAAAAGCAGAATATTTAATGCAGGAACCGGAAACTCTTTGAACACCCTTCTCTTAAGGGAAGTCCTATATGATTAGAGACTAGGCATTCCTGGAGAAAAATGTATTGGTTTTTCAGTAGCATGCTGTGGCACCAACGAGGTATCTTGAGCTTATCAAGGTTCAACCATACCTGTTATTTTACCAATCAATACCAACCACTATGAGCTCTACTATTTAAAGTGTACTTTCCATGTCCGTCCAGTTTGAATGGTCTACCGACTATTAGCTTTATTATTTAAAGTGTATTTTCCATTCCATCCAGTTTGAATAGTCTAGTGATACTTAAGCGGTTGTCTTTATTTACTGACAATGTGACTGTCAAAGTAAGAAGCTTACTGTGTATTTACAGGTGACTTCAGTAATCCTAAAAGATGGCAACCACCTTCCTGCTGATATGGTAGTAGTTGGTATTGGGATCCGTGCAAATACCAGCCTTTTTGAAGGCCAGCTGCTGATGGAGAAGGGCGGCATTAAGGTAAATGGGCAAATGCAAACTAGCGACAGCTCCGTGTATGCTGTTGGTGATGTTGCCGCGTTCCCCATCAAGCTCTTTGACGGTGATATCCGACGGCTTGAGCATGTTGACTCGGCTCGTAGAACCGCCAGACATGCCGTCGCAGCCATCCTGGAGCCTTCCAAAAGCAGGGACGTCGATTACCTGCCATTCTTCTACTCCAGAGTCTTCACACTGTCCTGGCAGTTCTATGGAGACAATGTCGGAGAAGTAATTCACTACGGCGACTTCACGAGCAACAGCCCTCGGTTCGGCGCATACTGGGTCAGCAAGGGCCAGATCACGGGCGCGTTCCTGGAAGGCGGGGACCGGGACGACTACGAGGCGTTATCGGTGGTTGTCTGGCGTAAAACCAAGGTCTCGGACATGTCTGAACTTGAAAGACAAGGCCTGGCATTTGCCATCCAGGAAAGCAAGAAAGACGTGCCTGACAGCGGGGTCACCCTCGGCGAGAAGCCCACCTTCGTGTGGTACGCGACGGCGGGGGTTGTTGCGGCCGTCTCGATCTCCGCGTTCGGTTATTGGTACGGCAGGAAGCGCCGCAGGTGGTGAGCTGATGGAAGGCCGGAGGAAGATCTGTGATGTGCACTCGGAGGGAATCCTGTATAAAAACCTGTACGAAAGTGTAATTTTGTCTCATACTGTAAACAAGTATAGAAACACCATCATATATTGTTAAACGAACGAAACGATGTCACAAAATCTCGAGAGCGATCCTTTTGCTCCCTCATGAAATCCATAATTTTTTTCTGCAGTCGCTGGGCTGCTGATGTCTTTGAATCACCTCCAGTTTCTGCAACGATGGCTGGGATCGCCTGCAGGTTGCAAGCCCGTGCATGGCCACCTAACCAGATGCTAGTACGCCGGGACGCTGTTGCAACTCCCATTACGCCGTCGTGGCAGCCAAAACGCACCCGAAGAGCAGAGCAGAGCGGAAAGCGCACCTTGCCTTCACCGAGAAGAATTCTCTGCGGACATTTTCCTTGGCTGCAAGGGCAAAGAAGATGGCAGTGGGCCAGTGGTCCCATGGGCCATGGGCCATGGTAGGAGTGTGAGGAAGAGCAAGGGCAAGGCATTTGTTTCCGGCCATGCCCCCACTCGATCTCCTCCTCGCAAGCCAAGAACAAGCTGCCCGGGCTACTTAAGCGCGGCCGTCCACTGGTCCATGGCGAGCAGCTACGGACCAGGTATATCGAGATAGCTTTGCTGATTGATAGAAAGATAATATATATAGCGCGGAGAAGAGATGGGCCGCGCGTTCGCGTACGTGATCCTGGGCGGCGGCGTGGCCGCGGGCTACGCGGCGCTCGAGTTCGCCCGCCGCCGCGCCGGCGCCTCCCCCGGCGAGCTCTGCATCATCTCCGACGAGGCCGTACGTACGCTCTCCCTTGTGTAGCTTTAACAATTCTGTCAAGTTCATTTCATACTGGTCGATCGAACGGCTGCGCGTGTTCCTTTGTTGAACCATTCTTGATTGGCTGGCAGGTCGCTCCTTACGAACGCCCTGCACTGAGCAAAGCCTATCTGCTCCCACAAGGTACCCGCATGTCCATCCTCTCTCTATATATCTCTTCCGATCCCCGATTGTTCCACTCCATCTTCAAGCTGTAAGCGTAGCGTCTGCGCATGAGTTCTTTGTAATCGCTCTGTTATTTCCCCGGGGAAACAACAAAAACCACTCTGCTATTCGCAGGCGCTGCTCGTCTCCCGGCGTTCCATACCTGCGCTGGTGCTAACGATGAGGTGCTCACGGAGCAATGGTACAAAGATCACGGTATGTATGTATGCATGTATGTATCTATGCTTCTATCTCTGCTGATCATGTACGTGTCTCTGCTGCTTGACCAGGCATCGAACTTGTTCTTGCGACGAGGGTGATCTCGGCCGATGTCCGCCGGAAGACGCTGCTCACGGACTCCGGGGAAACCATCGGCTACAAAACCCTCATCGTCGCGACAGGCGCCCGGGTCCGTAAACATTCAAGCTGAACACTCTCCATCACCCCTGCGTGTTTGCTCGGGAAAATTCAGAACCAAGCGTCCAAGATCGATCTAGAGTATTTGGTTCCTCACATGTATGTAATGTATGTAGGCCTCGGAGCTGGAGGAATTTGGGGTTCGCGGTTCGGACGCGGCCAACGTGTGCTACCTGCGCAGCCTCGAGGATGCCGATAGAATGGTGGGGGTGATGAGATCATGCCACGGTGGAAACGCCGTTGTGATCGGCGGTGGTTACATAGGAATGGAGTGCGCGGCGGCCTTGGTTGCCAATGAGGTCAAGGTCACCATGGTCTTCCCGGGAAAACACTGCAGTAAGTTGTGTTGTGCCATCATGCTACTACGTACTACAGTACTTATCTGAAGCTCGATCGGAACTCTGAATTTTCTGCTTCGAGAGATACTAATAGGACGCTAGGAGAGCACTCACCCCCACTGTATTTTCACCCTGATCTGAAAGTGAGCTGCGTGCGATTTGTTCTGTGCAGTGGGTCGTCTTTTTACACCCAAGATTGCTGAATTTTATGAGAAGTACTACGCTGCAAAAGGGGTTGTTTTCGTCAAAGGAACCGCGGTTAAATCCTTGGAGGTCTCAGATGGGAAGGTCAGTTCCTTCCTTGCCATTGTATGTGGATGAAACTTCTCAGATCAGCTACACTCGGACTGCTGGTAGGGTGTAAACTGAACTGAACTGAACTGAGTCTAGTACCGATTTTGCATGTGCAGGTGGCTGCGGCGATCCTGCGAGACGGCAGGCGGCTTCCCGCGGACATGGTGGTCGTCGGCATCGGCGCTCGCGCCAACACCGGCCTCTTCGACGGCCAGCTGGCCGTGGAGAGAGGCGGGATCAAGGTGAACGGGCGGATGCAGACGAGCGACTCCGCCGTGTACGCCGTGGGCGACGTGGCCGCGTTCCCCGTCGCGCTCCTGGGCGGCGCCGTGCGCCGGTTCGAGCACGTCGACTGCGCGCGCAGGACCGCGCGGCGGGCCATCGAGGCCATCCTGGAGCCCTCCGGCGGCGCCGCGGAGGAGGGGAAAGCCTTCGGCTACCTGCCGTACTTCTACTCCAGGGTCTTCGCCCTGTCCTGGCAGTTCTACGGCGACAACGCCGGAGAAGCCGTCCACTTCGGGGACTTCTCGCCGCCGGGAGCCGGAGGAAAGGCAAAGTTCGGCGCGTGCTGGGTCAGCGGAGGCCGGGTCGCCGGCGCCTTCATCGAAGGCGGGAGCCGGGAGGAGAACGAGGCGATGGCGAGCGCCGTGCGCAGCCGGGCGGCGATCGCGGACGTGGCCGCCGAGCTCGGGAGCCGCGGCCTCGGGTTCGCCGACGAGGAGAGCCGCCGCAAGGGGGTGCGTCGGGGTGGGCTCGCCTCCGGCGACAGGCCTACCTATGCGCGGCACGCCACGGTCGGGGTCGCTGCGGCGGTGTCCATCGCGGCGTTCGTGTACTGGTACGGCTGGATGGCGCCGTACGTGGTGAAACGTGACTTCGCCGACCCTAAGTTATGATGATGTATCCACAATCCAGTTAAACGAAAGCACTACCTTTAAAAATGTACAATTATTCAAACGAATTCACGTGTCGTTCTACTCCATATGACATAACAAAACGATGAAGTTGCAGTTGGATGATGGAGATTTTTTTCATTCCGTTTGGAAATTAACTATTATATACCCAAAAGAGTGTTGACGACTTTTTGCTTGACCTTGAACCGTTTTCTCCTCCCACTCCTATTCGGTTAGGTTTTCCTCTCCTTCCATCTGCGCCACCACCGGTCCACCCCGTCTTCATTGATCTTCCGGACATGGAGGTGCGGAGGACCCCCGACCTTTGTTTGGTTCAGGATCTTGGTCAGCGTTGTGTGGCGGCGGCATTGTCACCTAGGAGGAATAATGGCTTCCACGTCTGAACCCCCGTCCCGATGGTAGGTCTACCGCCATCAAAGAGTGTGTGGAGGTGTGTCTCCGATGGATCTCACGGGATCCGACCGGTATTGGTCATCGATTGATCTGTTTGGATTTAGTCTTCGTTCGTGTGTTTAGATTCTTTCGGTCTGCGTTTTCTTTATTGACGACGGTTGTTCTTTAGGTTTGATGGTCTTGTGTGGTCGTAGTATGATGACTTCCCAACTGTCAAATACAATAAAGTTTGTCCGGATCCTCGGACTTCAGGTGGTCCCGTTCAGCCCATTGGCTCTATGGACCGCCCATGCCTATTGTTACAATGTTACCGGAAGGGTAACCTCATGGCCCAAAAACCTGTAGGATCCAACCAGGACAAAACCATTCAACCCTAGGGTCGGACCGCACCACACGTCGAAACAGAGCGACCTCCATCGCAAGAGTTTGACATGCAGGGCAGCCACCAATCACCGGGCCTCAGGAATATGCTCGTTGAAGTAGAGCACGCCAACACGCAGCCCCCGTTGGTTTCTCTACCACCCGTCTATCCTCTTCACGCCGGTCTCAGTCTTCCTCACCGGTCGCCGGCCGCCGGAACATGCAGGAGGCACTTGTTGCTGAGCGCGTCCGAGTAGAGCACGTTGTTGGGGTTGTTTGGTTCCCAGCCACACTTTGTCACGTCTAACTTTAGGCAAGTTTGACCAAGTTAGGTAGGTGTTTGGTTCTAGCCACACCTAAGGTAAGGATTTTTTTTATGAGCAGTGAACCCCACATGTCATAGACACAAAAAATGTGGCAAAATTCCCTTAGGCAAGCCAAAGTGTGGCTAATAATTTAAGCAACTCAATTAAGGCAAGTGTGGCAAAAATCATGTGGCAATATATGGCAAAGATAGTCACAATCCAAACAGCCCCATTGTCTTCCGCCTTCTCCGCCATCAACCTTTGCATTCCTCTCCCCATTAGTCGCCAAGTCGTACACGGTGTCGTGCATTAGAGAAAGAGGGCCGAACCCAAGGTTTATACATTACCCTCTTACCCGAAGTGCGAGTCAAACCCAAACCTGAGATTTTTGTCATAGGTTTGCAGGTCCAAATACTATTGGATTATTAGTTGTACCATGTTCGATGTTTGATGAGAGAATTTTGTGATTTTGACCGGCTTCACTGAGGGATAGCAATGAAGGCAACACGTCTTCAATTCGTTCGGGTGTTTGTAGTCGCCCCTAACTTGTCCACAGACCTAGTTATGATTTTTGTTAGTTATATCCAAAGACCGATTATGTATTGCCGCCATGACAGATTATGAAGAAAGTTTCTCTGGGAAAGAAAACTATGTCCAAAGACCGAGAAATGCTGAAGGAGCAGCCGGCGCGTCACATTGGTAGGATGGGTTTGTTGCACCAAGCCACCAATCCAAGCTAACGTACGCGCATGTGTCGATTGTGGTAGATCACTAAACCCCACTAAACCCGCCCCCTGTTCCTTCTCTGTTCCCGTTGGATCCCTTCTTTGCTGCTGCCCTGTTCCTCCCTCGATCGCCACCCAACTCCCACCCGTCCTCCGGCCAGTCGCCGTCGGTAGCCGCCGTCGACGTCACCGGTCGTTACAACGCCCGTCGTCGCGTTCTCACATGTCACAGCTGAGAGCTGACCCCTGCTCCTCCCCCACTCCTCCCCTACTAATACAAGCCCGGCCACTGCTCCGAGTTCAAACACCTGAGCCGCAACGTCACGCGCTAGCACACTACAGCCAGCCACGCACGTAGGCCGGCACGGCAAGATCGCAGGGAAGATGGTGAACTTGATCGAGGCGCAGAAGCCGCTGCTGACGGGCATGATGAGGCTGGCCGGGCTCCGCCCCATCGACGTCGAACTGGAGCCGGGCACCACCATGCACGTCTGGGCTCCCAAGCACCACGCCGGCAAGAAGGGCACCACCATCAGCCCACACGACGCCAGCGCCGCCGCCACAGGGGGAGACGCCGCCGCCGCCGCGGCCAAGAAGCCGTCAGGCGGCCGTCGTGGGAGCAGGAGGAAGGGCCCCGAGGCGAAGCCCAACGTGGTCCTCATCCACGGCTTCGCCGCCGAGGGCAACGTGACGTTCCAGTTCAACTTCGGCGTGCTGGTGTCGCGCTACAACGTGTACATCCCGGACCTGCTCTTCTTCGGCAAGTCGTCCAGGACGGACAGCGCCGACCGGTCCCCGGAGTTCCAGGCGCGGTGCGTGGCGGCGGCGCTGGCGCGGCTTGGCGTGGCGCGCTGCGACGTGGTCGGGTTCAGCTACGGGGGCATGGTGGCGTTCAAGCTGGCGGAGGCGCGGCCGGACCTGGTGCGGTCGCTGGCCGTGTCCGGGTCCGTGGTGGCCATGACGGACGCCGTGAACCGGGAGACCATGGAGCGGCTCGGCGCCGGGTCCTCCGCGGAGCTGCTCATGCCGGAGACGCTCCAGGGCCTCAAGGCGCTCTTCTCCGTCTCCATGTACCGGAAGATGTGGTTCCCCGACAGGATGTACAAGGACTACCTCAAGGTAATCAATCAAGCACACCTATATATGTCTAAAACTCTAAATGCATGCTGATTTGGAATTGCTTATTAGCTAAATGTGAATGTTAATTTTGGAATTGGCATGGTAGTTCATTTTCTTTCTTACTCAAATGCTGATTTTCTTGAATTGTTGTAACTTGAAATTTCTCATGTTTAGAAATACTAATACACATATGTAGTGGTTTTTTTTTTGAGGGGCACATATGCAGTGTTGGTTGGGGTAGTTTGGGTGGTTAACTGATGCAGGTATATGTGTTTTGCTTTGGTGATGAGTAGGCGATGTTCACGAACAGGAAGGAGAGGCTGGAGCTGCTGCAGGGGTTGCTAGACAGCAACATGGACGCAAAGATGCCGACTTTCCAGCAGGTAAGTGAGCAGTGCCTTTGCTCAAGTCAAACCAAGCAACACCTACTACTATATTGTTGTGTTCACCGGCCTGTCTTACACAGGCCCGACTGAAACGAAAGCAGTTGCCTAGTGTCTAGTGAGCGCGACTGCCAAATTCAATTGCAAATATGGCACCATCATCACAGCTTTATATGCATGGCATGGCATGGCATGACAGTTTCTGCTCATCTAGGAACCATGCAAACTTTTCTTTAAGCATGTTACTAGTATTATCAATGAGCTGCCTCTGTAATTAGTGACTTTGCTCCCGTTAGGCAACCTACCGTTGACTGAGTACATATATGTATGGGCAATGCTTGTGGGAGTAACTTCAACAGTAACTTTGAGTTCAACTCAACAAATTTGTCTATGTGTCAATGAGTTAATAACGAGAGAGGTAGTTCTAGTAATTTAGCTAGTTAGGCTAGTCGTAATGGCAACTATCATATACTAGAATCATGCATATGATACTAGTGTATGATACTACATCCGTAATGCATAGTACTCCCTTCGTTTTTATTTAGTCCGCGTATTAGCTTTGGTCAAAGTCAAGCTTTGTAAACTTTAACAAAGTTTATAAACAAAAATATTAACATATACAATAACAACTCAATACCATTAGATTTATTGTCGAATGTACTTTCACATCATATAGACTTGTTATGGTAAATGTTTATATTGCTTTCTATAAAGTTGATCAAACTTTGCAAAGTTTGACTTCTGTCAACTCTAATATGCAGAGTAAATAAAAACGGAGGGAGTATCATATGTTAATATCTTCATTTATTAGCATGCATGACACATAGTAGCACAACATTTAATATAATACGGTATCATGATATGATACTCAACCCTCTCTTTCTTCATTTAATTCTATGTCACCTCATCAAATTTGCCTAGTTGGCATGCATGATACTAAGTACCTATGATACTCCCATTACAACTAGCCTTACTGTAACATCACATCTCCCAATGCAATATGAGTCTATAATCTAATAAATGAAGCTTTGCATGACACCACACCTAAATTACTACTACTCATTATGAAGGTAGTAACATAGCCTAGTGTATGTAACTTTCCACTGTGGCTAGTCAGGGACTGAAGATAGGAATGACTGATCCATTTTTGTTAGAAGAACAAAATGATATCTATTCCAAGGAGGGTTTCTTCGGTAATGCTCGGCTATGGGCTTTTAATCTGTGCGGTCCGTGGGCTCTAAAGCTGAGATGGGCCGAGTGCTTGGGCCCTTTATCTAAGCTAGGCATGTCTCGAAATAAAAATTCTAAGCTAGGCCACCACCTGCTGCTTGTGCAACCTAGCGCTGAATTTGTTTTTTTCGAGGAAGAAATGCTGCTGAATTTGGTTTATCCATTAAAAAGCATGGAATTATTCTTTTTCTGAAAATAAAACTGAATTGCTGGCGTGGTTGCAGAAGATAATGCTGATCTGGGGCGAGGAGGACAAGCTCTTCGACATAGAGCTGGCCAAGAAGATGAAAGAGTAAGCTTCCACTACATCTACATGCATTCCAGCTCAACCAAAAACCAAAGCCACGTAGCTGAGCAAAGCTGACGGTGCATTCGCGTTTGCAGGCAGCTGGGCGAGAAGTGCTACCTGCAGGGCATCCCCAAGGCGGGGCACCTGTTCCACCTGGAGCGCCCGTGCGCCTACAACCGCCAGCTCGGCAGGTTCCTCGCCCACGTCAACTCCCAGGAAACCCAAGCCACCAGTTGAACCGATCACCACCATCTCGGTCGTTCTAGAGGAGGAGGATGATTATTTTTGCAAGCAAAGCAGGTGGCCTGTCAACGTTAGTTCGTCTGCAACACGCGCCGCGTTCCATGATTGCCCGCAGAGGTCAACCCATGGATGTGAAGCTGGCCATTACTACTACTACTACCGCTAGCTAGCTAGGTCTACAGGGCCACATTCCGTCGCCCTGCAGAGTAGTATTAAGTGATGAGTTGACGCCACGCTCGACGTGGCGTTGATGGCGGTTTATTTCCTCCTGTTCCTGCAGACTGTTCGCTTTGATGCTGCTCCTACTACGTACATGACTTTTGTGGACGCCGTCGTGGTGCGAGTACCTCTCGTTGTTGTTGCCCACGAGGAAACGGTACCGAGTCGTGGATGATGATGCTGCTCCTGCTCCTTGGGGGTGTGTGTGTGTGTGGGCGGGCATGGCACACCTCGTTGGACCGGATCTGGCGTTCGTCTGGTTTCCGCGAGAAACCCTAACCCTGGAAGCGCCTTCCGGAAAGCGGAAAGTGGGGGCTCTCGCGCGCGCGCAAGACAAACGAGCGGGGCCCCGCGCTTCGTGGAGTGGACTATCCGTATCAGGCACAGGAACGAGTAACCTCACCAGTCAGATCGATCGTCCCGAGCAGGCGGTCTCGATCGTGGGGCGGTGGGATTCTTAGTAGGTCCATCGTACGGTCCACCGGCGCACCAGCAGCGGCGAGTGTCTGCATGACGACGCTACGTCGGGCTGGTGGAGGAGCATCCGATGTTGGCCCGTTCGGGACAGGTTTCCACCCTCCCCGTTCCATCGCGTCGCCGGACGGACGACGGACCGCGCCGCGTGCACGCGTGCATGCGCGTACGCGTACACCCGCTTGCCGGTCCTCGGGCAGGGGCCCAGCAGGACACGGGCTGGCACGCGGCTCGTAAAAATTCGCCAGCCCCATGGTACTCCCCGCGTCTGCATGCCTGCCCGGGAGAGAAATCAACAGCACTGTACTCTCCAACTCACAAGAAAAAGAAAACTGTGCTCTCCGGAGGAGGAGGAGGACGATCTTGGATCTCGGCGGCCTACTGGACCACGCGCAGCTGGCTGGAGCTCATGCTCCTCCTGCCGTCCATGTGTGAGCTGATCGACGTGATTACTGTGGCTAGCTGCCATGCCAGAGCGTCTGGCCGAGGCCGTGGCCGGCCCGGAAGGCGCCGGCGCGCGCCCGGGTCCGCGCTCTGGCGCAGGACGTGTGCTCGCCTTTTCGGCGCGATCGCCGCATCTCGATCAGCCGGGACCTCGGCTACGGCGACCTGCGCGCCGGCTCGTGCAGCAGCGGTGGCCTGCCCTGGGACTGGGGACTAGCAGCTAGCTCATGCACGCGCCAAACCCCAGGAGACGGAGAGCACGCAGTGATTGAAGTTGAACTGCACGCCGACCGACCGACCGTCTCATCTCACCTCATGCCGTACAGTTTACAGTTATCAAGTGCGGCAGAATAGGAGTTCGTCAAAAACGCGGAGAGAAACAAGATCTAGCTGAAGCTCTCTCGAGACTGAGGCCATGCTTAGATCCAAGGGACTATTTTTAGTCTGACTAAAACTAGTCTCTTTTAGAGGCTAAATTCCAATCACCCCTGACTAAAGAGAGGCTAGAACTAGTCTTGAGACTAAAAAAATTTAGTCAGGGGAACCCTACTAAAATGTGAATTAGTCCTCTCTCTCCTCATTTAACTCCTCTCCTTTAACACATGCGAGTTCGGGATTGGAGGGTTTGGAGGATAATAAATGCTCATTAACACATTTTAGTCTATTTAGTATTTGTATCCAAGTATGGGTGAGGCTATCAAGTTTTAGTCCCACTACTTTTAGTCATGGGACTAAAACGTATCCAAGCACCCTCTGAGCCGCACTGCGTACCTTCTTGGTTACATATCCCTGAAGTTAATATGGGGCGGCCGCACTTCATCAAAGTTCAAGCCTGGTACACACATACGGCGGTACGTACGAGCGCGTCATACATTCCATTCCCATGCATGGCGGTGTACGTACCAACTCTACTCCTGCTGATACGGACCTACACCAAATGTATCCCCGCTGGTGCAGTGCTGCACTGCACTGCTGTCGATCGGCATTTGACTTGCGTCGTCGAAATCAATCAATGAGCAGTGCTGCGAGTAGCGGCTAGGCTAGGCTGGTCCATGCGTGCGTGAGCTCACACGCTCACGCTTCAAGTCTCGCACGGCACGGCGCAGGGCTTGCGTCGTCCGTCCGATCCAACGGACCGCAACGTATACGTACAAATACTATTTGCAGCTAGGCTGGGCACGTAACGCAACGTACATGTACGGGGACCGTGGTCCTTTGCGGGTTTTTTTAACACATTTTTTTCATGCAGTTTGTGCTGCCAACTTAACTGTGGTTGGATGGTTAGAGGAACTGTGGTATCCCAGCTCATCAGGTTCAAGTCCTGTTGCTCGCATTTATTTCTGGATTTATTTCAGAATTTCCGGCGATGCGCGTTTAGTGGGAGGAGACGTTCCCGTCGATGACGAGGTGCCTACGGTGACTTCGTAAATTTCAAGATGATATGCCGGCTCAGTCTTTCGGAGGTGCTCATAGGGGTAGGGTATGCATGTGTGTGTTCACAGAGGTGAGTGTATGCGCGTCCTGTTGCAATCTCTCCAAGCGGGGTTTCCCTTCTTGTTGTGATATATCCGAATCGTTTTCTTCCTTTCCAAAATAAGGCCTTTGGTGCAGTTGCAACAAAAATCCCTAAAATCGGCTACTGCTGGCTGTTGGCGCCATCGCAACACCACTCGTGTTGCAGTTATTGCAATTGCAAACTTGGCTTGTGTTGCGAGAGCAACAAAATCCCTTTTGCTCTGAGCACGCCGCCGCTCACCACAATAGAGCACAAAGATGCCCGAGTAGCACCACATCCATTGTTGCAGAAGCATGTCAGAGTAGCGCGCCGCTCACATGTTGCAGAAGATGGGCCCCTCTCGCAGCAATGGCGTGGTGGGCGACTTGATGTGGATCTCGACGAGGGATGCACAGGGAGCTGCGCCCTGGCTCACATTCTGCGTCCAGGGTAAGTGCGTGTGTGATGACGGAGCTCACCGCTTAGGAAGAGGATGATGCGCCTCAAGGAGTGGATGTGGTGGTTGGCCTCGCGGGATGTGGAGAGGCTGCTGCGTGCAATCAAGGTGAAGAATGGTTGAGCTATTCTTGATGATGGAGATAAGATGAAGATGGAACTATCATGGTCCCCACCAGGACACGTGTCGAGTGAATGAAGCGGTCGACATTGTGCTGCAGTCCGTCGAATGATCCCAAATGTTTCCATAACTTAATACGCATCTGATATGTCTCCAACGTATCTATAATTTTTGATTGCTCCATGCTATATTATCTACTGTTTTGGACATTATTAGGCTTTATTATCCACTTTTATATTATTTTTGGGACTAACCTATTAACCGAAGGCCCAGCCCAGAATTGATGTTTTTGCCTGTTTTAGGGTTTCGGAGAAAATGAATATCAAGCGGAGTCCAAACGGAATGAAATCAACGTGATTTTCTCAACGAACAAGACCCGGAAGACTTGGGCCCTACGTCAAGAAAGGAAACAGGAGGCCACGATGTAGGGGGGCGCGCCTACCCCCACCAGGCGCGCCCTCCACCCTTGTGGGCCCCCTGTTGCTCCAGCGGCGTACTCCTTCCTCCTATATATATACACGTACCACCAAATGATCAGATACGGAGCCAAAACCCTAATTCCACCGCTGCAACTTTCTGTATCCACGAGATCCCATCTTGGGGCATGTTCCGGAGCTCCGCCGGAGGGGGCATCGATCACGGAGGGCCTCTACATCAACACCATAGCCCCTCCGATGAAGTGTGAGTAGTTTACCTCAGACCTACGGGTCCATAGTTAGTAGCTAGATGGCTTCTTCTCTCTTTTTCGATCTCAATACAATGTTCTCCCCCTCTCTTGTGGAGAACTATTAGATGTAATCTTCTTTTTGCGGTGTGTTTGTTGAGACCGATGAATTGTGAGTTTAGGATCAAGTCTATCTATGAACAATATTTGAATCTTCTCTGAATTCTTTTATGTATTATTGGTTATTTTTGCAAGTCTCTTCGAATTATCAGTTTGGTTTGGCCTACTAGATTGATCTTTCTTGCAATGGGAGAAGTGCTTAGCTTTGGGTTCAATCTTGCGGTGTCCTTTCCCAGCGACAGTAGGGGCAGCAAGACACGTATTGTATTGTTGCCATCGAGGATAACAAGATTGGGTTTTCTTCATATTGCATGAGTCTATCCCTCTACATCATGTCATCTTACTTAAGGCGTTACTCTGTTTTTAACTTAATACTCTAGATGCATGCTGGATAGCGGTCGATGAGTGGAGTAATAGTAGTAGATGCAGGCAGGAGTCGGTCTACTTGTCTCGGATCTGATGCCTATATACATGATCATACCTAGATATTCTCATAACTATCCTCAATTCTGTCAATTGCTCAACAGTAATTTGTTCACCCACCGTAGAATACTTATGCTCTTGAGAGAAGCCACTAGTGAAACCTATGGCCTTTGGGTCTATCTTTATCATATTGATCTCCTACTACTTCGTTATTTCCTTTGCTATTTACTTTGCCTTTATTTTACTTTGCACCTTTATCATAAAAATACCAAAAATATTATCTTATCATATCTATCAGATCTCACTCTCATAAGTGACCTTATTGGGATTAACAACCCCTATTTGTGTTGGTTGCGAGAATTTATTTGTTTTGTGCAGGTAGGAGGGACTCGCGCGCAGCCTCCTACTGGATTGATACCTTGGTTCTCAAAAACTGAAGGAAATACTTACGCTACTTTGCTGCATCATCCCTTCCTCTTCGGGGAAAACCAACGCAGTGCTCAAGAGGTAGCAAGAAGGATTTCTGGCACCGTTGACGGGGAGTGAAGGAAATATGCCCTAGAGACAATAATAAAGTT